ATATATATATATAAATTCTGAAGTTAAACAATAAGCGAAGGGAAGATTCCACATCTGGCGAGAAATCGAACTTGTCCTCTGGCTCTTCCGAATTGGAAGTTTTTTCAGGGATATCTTCCCTCCCAGGTGAAGAAGATGCTGAGTGAATATTTTCCAGTGAAACATTTTCAGAGAGCTGTTGGAGAGCTATGAGTGATGTGCCTAATATGTTCACTCTGGACTCCTGTAGAATGTGCTGTGGCGGAAAAAGATGCTTTGATATGTGACTTTTGTTTCACTTGAACTATGTGCTAGACACACAAGCTAATTTCATGAACTTAAGATGTTAAACTAGTGTTTTTGCAAAATTATACTGAATTCAATCTATTTTCAGTTTTTCATTTATGGTTCCCCATTTCTTAAAGCGTTTGCGGAGGGCTCACATTAGGAATCCTTTTTTAGAAATCCACAAAATGTAATGTTTACGAAAAAATTAAATTATTCTTAAACTACTTGTACAATAATTTTAAGTAGAATATAACATTTGTATAACTAAGTAAAGTATACATTGCAAATATTTTGATTTAATTGTGCAGAATATTGGATTTAAAAATAGTGGAAAACAAAATGGGGGCCCGGGTCTGGGTTCTTTCCCTCTGATGAAATATTGAACAAATATAGAAAAAAATATTAAAATATACAATAACAATTCCTTATTATTTCCTTGTTCTTATTAATATAACAATCCACATTTCAAAAATGAATTACCAAAATATTTGTACATTTTCATGAACTATAAGTATAAAATTTTGTTTAATAATTATTGGTAGGCAAAGCACAGACTTAGTTTGCTTGTACATTAATTCACACATGTTTCATTTACGGAAGGAACAAATATTTAGCCATTCAATACGCGTTTCTAAATTATCGTGTACACACAATTCGGTATACATGTCACCGCTAATGTCCGAATCGGGTTACTTCCCGCAAATTCAAGATACTTCTGTCCTCTCCTATGGCTCGTAAGCTACGGGCCTTGGCTGACCAGCGGCAACCCAACCTCTCGGCCATGGGATAGGGTTTCGTGTGGTTAGCTAGAAGACATCTCTTCATCGTATATTCAAGATACTTTACTGTCGGAAAATCATCTTACTTTAGCCTGTGGCTAACTCGCGAATTAGCCTAATGATATCCAGGAAAAAACAGTCCATAGTCATTCATACAATTTAATCCAAACGCCTGGATATTGTGTGTATTAGCTGCCTAGTTCGTGAATTAGACATATTTCGGATTACACCGTAACATATTTATAGTAAATATTTCACAATCGTAACTTTTTATTTCTGCTAGTTTATTTCCTGTCTGACAATGCAAAAATATTCTCTTAATGTGTCATCTTTGAGTTCAACAGACCATGCGGCAAGGAATCAATTTTTCCGACCCCTTCGATTGACTTAGAAATATTTATATAATATTATCTAATAGATCATGTACATATGTATTTATATAAAAGGCACGTTATTCGATGGACAATTCACCCTAAGCTTCTCAACCGATATCTATCAATTTTGAGAAATAGAAGAAGGCACAGTTTTTTTATTAATTGGTTATTGTTTCCGTCGCGTCAACTTCTAAGATCATTATTCCCGTACGTGTGGTGCATGTTTTGTATCGCGGGAGATGGCGGTGATCTTAGGCGAGAAGGCGAGATCCAGCCTCGAACCTACACGTCGACTTGCGGGGTTTTCCCAACCAGTTATTTCTCACTGGGGAAAACAGCCCCAGAAGGGACAAGCTCTAAACTCCCAACTAGTCTCCCGACAAGTGTGGTAGTATAGTGTATGTTTTTAGTGTGTCTGTGTGTAAGGGTGGGGATCGGAGATGGAAGAGGAAGGAAAGATCGTGAGTGGTCCATGACCGCTCTGTTAGGATACTTTTCCGGCATTCACCTAATATTGATCGGAGAAACCGCGGAAAATTACCGATAAGAGCAGCTGGTCACTAGAATGTTTCCTCCAAACAGCCACTGAGTTCGACATAGCTACATAGCTAGAGTCGATTTTTTAGTTTGGCGATTCCTTATTCAAGTGATGCTGTTATGAGTGGTTATCAAACTATTTAATCGACTCCTTGCGGGCTGAAAACATTAACGGAGCAATTAATATAAGGGAGTCGACTAGGGGGAGGGGTGAATAGCCAATATCAACTGGCTACTGGTCAATGTATTCATGATCAAGATCTCATTGATTGCTAAATATATGATTATAAAATTGATTAATTGTTTTCTTATTAATCTGCAAACATAAAATAATAATTACAAATTCACTCTTCTTATTTTCTGTCTATCGTTCATCGGCATAATGTTTATTGAAGAAGATCATTATTCCGTATTTACACGCAAGAAAATATTCTCCGCAATATGTACTGAAGAAACTTCAAAACTAGTGGTCAAACTTCGAAAAAATGATCAACATAAATAATTTTGTAACCATTACACAAGGAAAATTAGAAACAAAGCTATCCAGAAATAGAATTATCTCGGAAATGCCCTAGAAATGCAATAGTCACGGAAATCGAGATATTTAGGAAAATAATGGTATGCGATACGAAATTTGTAAACGGTCATTTACGGTCACTTTTTTATATTTCTTGTGATATGTATTAAATTGAAAAATTATTTTAAAAGGC